GATAAACTGCCTGCTGAACAAAACAGCAATGTGTTTGATGACTGAATGCACAAGTTCAGAGGGACACAGAGGTGGGCAGGCTGACGCTGGTGGAGGGGTGGGTATGGGTGTGGAGGGAGATCAGGGAAGTTTCCCAGAGGGGAAAACACTGCGCTGGGCTTTGAAGAGTTTACCGGGTAGAAAATGGGGTGGGGGCACTTGCGCAGAGGGATGGAGTGTACAGTGGCATTGGGGGTGGAGGTGCAGGCACTGGAAGGGAGCTGCCAGCCTGGAGGCACCTTGGGGGGATGTCAGGGGGTGGAATGGTGCGGCTGAGGAGCGGTGGGCAGGGAACCCAGCCTGTGGGGCCCACAGCCTCGACTTTCTCCAGGGGTCGGGGGTAGAAGGGCAGCCCCAAAGGTCTTGACTCCTTCCATCTATTACAGAGGGTACTCTGGGGACCCAGGTCAGCTGACTCAGTGGTTTTGGGGAAGGAAGAGAATAGAGAACAAAGAGTAAGGATCTTGTTTCAATGGTGACCCCACGATTTGGCTTTGCCCCTGGGGAAGGATCCACAGCCAGTGCGTGGCGAGGCATGGCAAGAGCCCCACCCCGTGAGGGCTCCTCCCTTGCACTGAGGAAACAAGCCCCGCAGACCTCGCAGCAGCCTCACAGTAGCTGCTCTCTCCCAGCTTACAGAAGAAGAAACGGAGCTCCACAGAGGTGTAGGAATGTACCCAGCAAATAGGTAGTGGCAGAGCTGGGCTTGAACTGGGCAATCCGGCAACTGAGGTACCTGCTTCTTTCCTGGGCCCCCGTTTCCTCCTAAGTGAAAGGGGAGGGGGTGGCCTCTCAGGTGCCCCACCTCCTCCTTGTGAGTCCTCACAGGGAGGTGCCCCCTGGTCCAGGCAGCACTAGAGATGTTGGAGCATGCCCTATGCTGGACAGCAAGTCCCACCTGCAGAGCCTGCTGGAGCCCAGCCACCTCCTCACTCCTGGGCCTTCCTGCTCTGGGCCTGGAACTTGATTCCTAACCAGGTGTCTCATGGCTGGACCAGATGGAAAAGTGAAGACGCCAGGCTAGGTGCTTCCTGCCAGCCCTGGCCCAATGCCCATGAACCGCGGAGCCCAGCTTGCTGTTTGCAGCGTGCTGCCTGTGGCTGTGAGGGCCCCTCTGGTGAGAACGTGAGCAAGCATGGTGCCCGTCCTTGGTGGACTTCTGCAGCAGCTTCTGTGTCCCTCCCAGCCTCAGGTGAGGACTCCCCACCTTTAGGGGTCCATCGGAAAGGCAGGGCAGGCTGAAGGCATGTTAGCCCTGAGAAAAGGAAGGAAGAACACCTGGACCAGCGTAGGGGCACCGAGAGTCACTGCTCTGCTCTTTCCTGAAGCAATCACACCTCTCGAGGACCCTGCTGGAGCCCCGCCCAGCGCAGGCCACAGCTGGCCCAAGTCTACGCCACTGCTTTCTCCTTCCAGCTCCTGGGTCACCTCCTAGCCTATAGCTGGCTCCCCAGAGGAAACTGCTCCCCTGGTCCAGATCCACTCAAGCCAACGCCTCCTCTACTCCCCCGGGCCTCCTCCCTCCCCAGCACTGACCACAGAGGAGGATGCATGTCCCCAGATGACTCTGGGGGCTGCCCTCCTCACTGGAAGGGTTTTACCACTCACTGTCATGGGTGAACAGACCAGAGTCAACAGTGTGCCACCAGTGAAACCTACAACCCTCAGGAGAGTCAGAGCGTAGAGCCTGAGCTCGCTGGCTACACAGCCCAGAAACTTCTGAGGGGAACCCTGGGGAGATGAAGATTTGGGCAGTCCAGCTGCTAGATCTACTGACGTTCTGAAAGTCTATAGGAACCTGATACCTCCTCTTTGTGTGTGTGGGGAGGTAGCTCCCCTTCCTTTTGTGTCAGCCTGTACCACTCCTGGCCTGCCCGTAGGGGAACATGGCCCCTGAAGACACTACCCTGGGCTCTGGGCTGAATAGTGCTCACACTGCAGAGGAGCTTTGCCACTTTCCCTGGGGATGCAGGGGAGGCTCTCGGGCTGCCCTTGGCTCTAGTCTCTAAACACTTTGTCCAGACCCTGGGCTGGCCACCTTTGGCCCTGTCTGCCAGCTGTACCTGCCAGCTGGTCACAAGGCTTCACCCACGGTCTGGCTTCTCCCTGGCTGCTGCAGGCTCTTCTGGGCTCTTGTGTCCACTCCTGTCGGCTGTCACCGCATTCTTGGGAACCTGCCTGCCCAGCATGCCCGTCCCACGCTGCCCCACTCCAAGCCTGCTCTGTCTTTTGCTGGCTGCGGGGTCCCGGCACACACCTCCCTTGACTCTCTCGATCACTGGGCCTGTCCATCTTGGGCCTGCAAGCCACTCACGTCAACAGATGACACCGTCCATAGCACAGACCCAAAACCCCGCTTGGAGCTCAGGCCCCACCGCCTCCTTTGGCCCGATGCCTTTTGCTGCCTCTCTTGGCCTCAGCAGACTCCACTTGTCCAGAAATCTGCCTGGCTGGCTCCCAGTGCCCTCTGTCTCTTTTAAAGTCTTCCCTCGATTCCTGACTTCCCTGGTCCACTTTCTTCTGAGCCATGCTGTATTTATCTTTTAAAGTTTTTATTTAGAAATATCACAAACATACTGGAACATTTTTCTCCTGAATCATTTGAGAGCAAGTTGCAACCCAAAGTCCCTGTCCCCTGAATTCATCATCAGTGTGTATCTCCTACATCCAAGGCCACCCCACGCTTCTCTGGGAGCACACTTTCCTCCATTGCTCAGGAGCTGTCTCCACGGAGGGGTGCCCCTCTCAACCTGCTTGGAATCCTCTGGGGCTGACTATCCCTCTGTCAGGGAGCCAAAGGCACACTAAGAGATGACCACACCATCTCCCTGCCATCAAGACAGCCAGAGAAGGATGGTACGTGGCTTTGTGTGCACTTAGCTTATGTTCCCCTCACTTCCTTCCTCCTGTTGGCAAGGACCCCTTCCTCCTGTAAGCAGGGGTCAAGAGGCTGGCTTCCATCATTAACACGCCATATTAATGCCTCCCTGGGCTACAGTTTCCTTACTGGCAAATGAAGAGTTAGGATTAAGTGCTTTCTGAGGATTCTTTTCTAATAATAGTAGCAGCTGACTTTTATTAAGCACTTACTATGTGCCAAGCACTGTGAGTACTTTACATGCAGCATCTTGGTTAATTCTCATACCAACCCTGTAAGATATAATCACAGTACTGTTATCATCTCCATCTTACAGATTGGGAAACTGAGGCACAGAGCAGTGACATATCTTATGCTCAGGCAGCCATTCAGAAATTCTAGGTTTTCATGCAGGTCCGGTTCAGAGTTGATACTCTGCTGAAAAGTATGGGGGCAGGGCGGGTGGCACTATCTGGAATTTACTCTTTACCTGAAGAGGCAGTCATAGAAGTAAATATTGATAATTCAGAATAAGAGGTCAACTTTCACATGCCAAGTTCATGACACACAAATGCCATTTCACTTAATCCGCAACAACTTTGAGACACAGCACCATGATTATTCTCATTTTCCAGACGAGGAGACTGAGCCAGAGAGGAAGTTAAACAACTTCCGTGTCTGAGGCGGAGCCAGGATGTGGACCCAGGTGTGCTGTTGTCACCCAGCGCTAAACTGGGACACATGCTGTGCTCAGAGGGCAGGTCTTGAAGGATGCTGCTCATTGGCTCTGACTGCCAATGGGGTTGGGGGCAGAGTACCAGGCCCTGGGCAACTACTTCATGAATCTGATTCGATTTTATGCTCCAGCACCCCTGAGAGGCACCTCCACCCACAGAGTGGGGAAAGGCACCCAGCCGCACTAAACTGGGCAGATGTGGCTGGAGCTTCATGCACCCTTGGGTTACGGCCAGGCTGGAAAACCTCTGGCACTGACTCACGGAGGACCTCAGTGCCTCCTGGAGCCTAGCCTTCACCCCGTGGACTGCAAGGAGCTGCTGAAGCTGCCAGGTTGGGTCTCCAGTCTTCATACAACACAACAGCTGCCCGTCCTCCAAGAGACTCCAGGCCAGGGGTAGAGAGGTGCTTGCTCACTCATCCAGGCCTCTGGGGCCAGAGCACCCTCTGGAGACTTGGTGTCTCCTTTGTGCTCCTCCTCGCCACATCTGTGTGTGTTCCAACAAGCCGATACCCAGCTCCGGGCTATGGAAGGAAAGAATTCCCAGCAGATGCCTCATCTCAAAACAGGGTACATGGCCACGATCCTGCCCAATACGAAGCATCTTGTGACAAGCTCAGATGAGGTCCTTGGACCTTCAGGGAAGACCAGCTTTCTCCTTAGGGAGACGAGGCTTGAAGGAGCCTGCATGGCTCCCTCGCCCAGGCCTTTTCAGTAGACTCTCTCTGAGCAAGAGCTCCCAGGATTTAGTGACAAGCACTGCTGTTTCCAGAGCTGAAAAGGCCCTGCACATTCACATCTGGACAGAGACAGTTCATCCAAACCACATGGCAATCGTTCATTTCATAGAAGAGAAATTCACAAAGAGCAAGGGCACTGCCCAAGATCGCAGAGCTAGGAATGGCAGTCAGGACTCAAACCCCAGTCCTCCAGACTCTACAGCCCAAGCCTTGTTCTCACATCTTTCAATTGCAAATGAGGAAACTGAGACCCAGAGAGGGAACATGACTTGTGCGAAGTCTCCAGCTCCACGGCTCACACACATGACCTCCCTTCCTGTAGAAGACCTCATTTCAAACAATGCCCGAAGATGGAAAAGGTAAAATGTTCTTGTGATTTGCAGCTAAGAAAATTCAGGTGGATCCACACTCAGCCCCATTCTCAGACACTTCATCGGTCCCATAATCCATATGTCACTTTTTAAAAAAAAAAATTGAAACAGGGTATCACTGTCACCCAGGCTGGAGTGCAGTGCTGCAATCATGGCTCACTGCAACCTTGACCTCTTGGGCTCAAGCAATCCTTCTGCCTCAGCCTCCCGAGTAGGTGGGACGACAGGATCAAAGCATTTACAGAATTGGCTCAGACTTTTCTCACGCTACCATGCCCAGCTAATTTTTGTATTTTTTTGTAGAGATAGGGTTTTACCATGTTGCCCAGGCTGGTCTAAAACTCCTGGGCTCAAGCAATCCACTGCCATGGTCTCCCAAAGTGCTGGATTCCAGGTGTGAGCCACTGAGCCTGACCCATATGCCACTTTTCATTTTAGTTTTCATTGTTACTGTTGGTGGATCAAAGCATTTACAGAATTGGTGCAGTTTTCTCTCTTCTATGACGTGCTGTCCACACGTGGCCGCCAAAGACACACAAATACACCTCTCTACTCCTTGGGCAGAAAGACTACCTTATCCTGAAGAAAATCCGAATCACACTAGTGAAGGGAAGGAAGAAAGAAGAGGCAAGGAAGGAAAGAACTGCGATGGAGAAGAAAGACTCCCTTTGCTGAACACTTGAATACTTTCTGTATGCTGAACCTGGGATAAACAGGCCCGTGTTATCTTACTATTAGTTCTCAAAAGGACCCTGGAGACAGGTATCGTTATCTTTGTTTAGATGAAGAAACTGAGGTTCAAAGAGCAAAGGAACTGGCTGGTAATTGTTGGAAGTGGGGCTAGAATTTGACTCTGTCTCAGTTCAAAGCCCAAAGACTTTCTAGAACAGTGTCAGGTTCCCACCTGTGCCTCCAAGGCCTAGAGGTTCAGGGAGGTGCCCCTGGGAGCTGGGGGTAGGGCTGAGAGGGTGACCTTTCTTGAAGAGTTCTTGGGAAGAATGAGCTCCATGGCTAAAAAATATTTGAAAACCACCTGACCGGTAGTCTTTAATTAAAGATGGTGGGAAAAACTTTATTTCTTTTCTTTTTTCTTTTCCCTTTCCTTCTCTCCCTCCCTTCCTCCCGCCCTCCATCCTCTTCTCCCTCCCTTCCTCTCTCCCTTCCTTGCTTTCTTTTTGGTATAATAAACCCACAAGGAAGGGGAGAATGGGATAGGAGACTGACAATAGACTTTTAGAAGCTGGAAAGAGATGAATGAGTAGAAGAGACAGAATCCCAAGTCTGCAGGAAGGAAATCTGGGAACCAATCTGACTTACATTCCAGGATCCCTCAAAGCCTCTGCAGGTGGGGGTGGAGGGAACAAGGTAAGCACGACTGGTGGAAGATCTTATCAGAAGCTGTCAGATTCCCATCCCCTCCTCAACTTCAGCAGCTCAGGAGACTCCCCTCCCCCGACCCCAGAGAAAGCCTGGAGGTTTCTTATCTGCACAAGGGGAAACTAAGCCCTTTTGAGGGGGGACATCAGGCATACTGAGGGCATGGCAGGGGTGCCATAAAGAAATGGGGGGGCGAGGGCATGGTGGCTCACACTTGTAATCCCAGCATTTTAGGCTGAGGTGGGTGGATCACTTGAAGTCAGGAGTTTGAGACCAGCCTGGTGAACATGGTGAAACCCAGTCTCTACTAAAATACAAAAATTAGCTGGGTGTGGTGGTGGGCACCTGTAATCCCAGCTACTCAGGAGGCTGAGACAGGAGAATTCCTTGAACCTGGGAGGTGGAGGTGGCAGTGAGCCGAGATTGCATCACTGCACTCCAGCCTGGGCGACAGAGTGAGGCTCTGTCTCAAACAAATAAAAAAGAAAAGAAAAGAAAAGAAATAGTGGGCAGGAAGTGAATGCATGCAGACTGCATGTGGAGACTCCTCCTTCTTCCCCTCCTTCCTGCCTTTTTCTTGTGGCTTCCAGAACATGGGAAGTAGACCCTTCACCCTCCAGGAGGGAGGCTGAACCTTCATGGGGATTCTGCTCAAGATGAAGGACATCGCTGTTGAAGACTCTCGGATGAAACAGGCCGGCGGGCAGCTCTGGGGAACGCCCCATCAAACAGCCTCACTCCTTGCTTCCAACCATCTTTGAACACCTCCACCCTTAAACATGAGAAGACACCAAAGGCACAGTAAAGGGGAACTTGAAAGAAACAGAAACCATGCAGGAAACAACGAAAACAGAACAAGAACTGGGCCGAAAAACCCAAGTAACATTAATAACAACCAACGTCAATAGCTTCAGAGAAATAAGAGAAGATAGGAGAGTCTATGAAATGAGAACAGGACACTATTAAAAGGAACATTCAAGAGAAAAATTATTGAAAACTAAATATGTGACAGTAGAAATAAAAACTCAATAGAATGAATGGAGACAAAATGGAGGGACGTACTCAGAGAGTTCAGCAAAAAGATAAAGCAATGAAAATGCGACAGAGGGTACAAAAATCAGAGAAAACAGACAGGAGGGCCAAGGTCTGAATAACAGCGGTTCTAGAGAGAGAGAGGAGAAAAACAGATAAGAGGAAATAATCGAAGAACTCAAGACATTTTCTCTCCCTCTCTTTGTTTCTTTTGGGACAGAGTCTCGCTCTGTTGCCCAGGCTGGAGTGCAGTGGTGCAATCTCGGCTCGCTGCAGCCTCCGCCTCCCAGCAAGCGATTATCCTGCCTCAGCCTCCCAAGTATCTGGGATTACAGGTGCATGCCACCACACCCAGTTATTTTTTTTTTTTTTTTGTTTTCAGTAGAGACGGGGTTTCACCATGTTAGCCAGGATGGTCTTGATCCCCTGACCTCATGATCCGTCCACCTCGGCCTTCCCAAAGTGCTGGGATTACAGGCGTGAGCCACTGTGCCCAGTCAAGACATTTTCATAAAGCAGAAATCTCAGGGTCACCAGACTGAAGGAGCCACTGAGTGAGAAAACTTACCCACGCTAAGCCCCATCACTGTGAGATGTCATGGACCAGGGATGTAGAGAAGTTCCTAAGACAAGACCCTGGAGAATGCAACCAGACTCAGAATGGATCTGGAACTCTTAACGGCAACCCAGGAAGCCAGATAGCAATGGAGCAACATGTTCACAACACTGAAGGGAAATGATTTCCAACCCAGAATTCTATTACAGATTTCAATCGACTGCAAAATAAAAGCATTTCCAACATTTTCAGATATGCGAAGGATCAAAGTATTTCCCTCTCATGCATCCTCTCTGAAGAAGACCACACTGAAGGATGGTCTCTGTAAGCTGAGGATGAAAAACAAGGAAAAGGAAGACAAAGTTTCGGAAAGAGGGGACCCAACATGGGAGGCAGAGAGGCCCTCTGGGATGGGGTGGAGGAAGATCGCTGGAGAGAGTGCACCAGGAAGAGGGGAGCCCTGGGGCAGCCAGCAGCCACCACCAGACAACTCAGGGAGCTGCTGTCTCAACAATACGGGAGGCACAGAGTGTCCAGCGATGCTGAACATCTCCAATGACTTGAGGGGAAATTTGGGTGAGGCGGGAATATGGGGTTGAATTAGTAACAAATATATAGAAAACAAAGTGCAATTAAACACACATACATACAATGATTATACATGGCGAACACAGGAAAGGAAAGGAATCACGGTTCACTTTACAGCTTTGCTGTGAATTATTTATGATACACGCTAATGAGAGGATGGGGATATGGGGGGAGGCGGAATGCAAAAGAGGGAAAGGCTTCGGAGCCCACAGATGATGCCTGAAGCTGGGAAGCCAAGTCATAGCATCCCGAGCACATTATGTAGAGACTCAGCAAACCAAGACAGTCTGCTACAAGAGATGAAAGGTGCTGCTTCTGGGAGTGGCGGTGGGTGGGAATGGCAGCAGGGGGGGGGGGGGGGGGCCGTTGTTGGCAGAAGAAAATGTGGGGCAAAGAGAAAGAGTACTGCTGTTTCCCACAGCAAGATCTATGGAAATATTTGACTCTTTAAACCCCAGACATGTGTAATTTTGATAAAAACTGAAAGACACAGAGAGAGCAAGTGAGCACCTATGCCTCTGTTCTCTAAGAGGCTGCTTTTTCCACAGGAGAGAGACAGAAAGAAGCCAGCTTCCTCCTGGGAGCCCAGCCTGATTTTCCAGGGCAGAAAGAGGCTGGAATCCAGGCAGACAGTGTCCAGGCCCAGAGGATGCTACGTCCTCACTGTAGCTCTCAGGGGACCACCAGGGGTTGCCTGAGACCCCTACCCAGGAACCTAAGGCTGTGATGACTTGAAAAATAAGTCTGCTTTTAACTTTTCATAGGACACGATGAGATCTCTGATGGCTCAGGGCTTTGAAGGGCTCTGGGCCCAGCATACTCAGACACTCAGTCTGCCCAATGATCAATATGTCTTTTTTCTTTCCATTTTGCTTTTCGCATTTTTTTTAACCATCCATGACTTGGGTTTCACAATACGTCACCAGTTGTCTCTGATGACTGGAGTGAGTGTTCCCTGGGAAGTCCTTTGAGTCCCCAGAGGACAGCCAGGAGGCCAGCACAGAGTCACCCTAGCTAGATTAACATTGGAGATTTTTATTGGGGGATCATCTTTATGGAGGAATGACTTTTCCAAGAGTCTAAGTGGTTTCCTGGGTACAGAAATTTTCTCCTCTTGTTTTCAAAATAGTCATTCACAAATCCATGGTGGGTGAAGACCTCAAGCCCACAGGTGGCCTGGAATAGCAAAAAGGCCTGGCATGGGGCTGAGAGAATCCTCCCCACTGCTCTCCCCCAAACCAGCAGCCTCCTTTCCTCCTGTCATGACCAGGGAAGTGTCTTCTTCTCATCAATGCCCCCGCAGGACCCTAGCACTTTGCTCCCGCACCCTGCCCCTTCTCTCCTTGGCATCTCACCTGCCCCTTGCTAGAAGGCATTTCTTGCAGCACACATGCATGAGAGCTCTCGGTTCAAACATGTGCTCCAGCCCAGGCTCCCTCCAGGTACCGCCTTCCCCACTTGTGCTGCTGTCCTCCATAGCCAGCCTCTTCAGACACAGCTTTACATAGGCACCTCCTCTTGTCATTTCGGCCCATACCATCGGGGTTCCATTGTGTTGGAAACAGCGCCCATCAGTCACCAGTCACCCACACAGGGCCCTATTGAATGGGCACATGCCACATGCCTGTCCTCACTGGGCCACGCCTCCTTCCTCCCTGAACACTCTCTTCTCTTGGCTTCCGGGCTTCACACTTGGCTGGGTCTCTTCCTGCTTCTCTGGCGACTCCTCTTCAATCTTCCACAGCAGTGTCTCTGTCTGCCCTTGAAGTGCTGGTATCCTGGGATCAGTCCTGGATGCCTTTTTCTTTTCTCTCTTCTCCATCTCCCCCCAGGTGGCCCCATAGCCCTAAATCACATCTGTAAACTGACAACTCTCAGGAGTGTATTCGACCTCAGCCTCTCCTCTGAGGGCCAGGCTCATCTATCCAGTTGCCAAATGTCTCCCTGAACATCTCCAGTTGGCCTGGCATCTCAAAAGTCACATGTCCAAGTTTTGATCTCCCTGTCCCCAGGCCTGTTTCTCACTCCCCTCCTCCATCCCTTCTCACCCCATAAAGGGCACCACCATCCACTAAGCAGTTACTACAAGAAATACGGTAATCAGTCTCACGTGGAGACTCTCTCTCAGCCTCCATAGTCATCAGAAGTCCTATAGCTCCTTTTTCCATCTTCACTGCCATGTTCCTGGCCTAGGCCACTGATGTCTCACCTGGGCTGTCAGGATCCTGCTCTCCCCACTGCCCTGACAACCACCACCTCCTTCCCAAAGTCTGGGTTATATTCCCCAGGAGAGAGGGGGCAACAGGATTTAGAGATATAAAGAAAAAGAGGAGAAAGTCCAGTGTGGGCTCACGTGATGGTGGTTGGACACTTCACTCCGCAGCCTACTGGGCCATGCTCAGAGCTGCACATCTACATTTCTGGGGAGAAGCCAGAAAAATTAAAGAGAGAGCAAGGTACTGGGCTTCAGGAATATGGCAGCCTGATAGCCTACACTCACTCCGGGAGAAGAGCAGCCCCTCATCCAGGGCTGAGAACCCAGGACCCATTCTCTCGGCTCCTAGAACACAAAGGGCTCTGCTCAGAGAAGGCCCTGGCCTAGGAGCTGGCGGCCCACGAGCTGCCAGCTTTGTGGCATTATGTTTAGTTTTTACCTTGAACAGCTGAAAGGCAGGATGGTCTGCAAGGAAGAGCCCTTGGCTCCCAACCCGAGAGCCTGCCCCATAACAGAGGCCATCTGACTTCACCTTCCCCATACCAAGCCTGCCTTCAGGCTGATGGACAGGTACTCACTGGCCTGGTTTGACCTTGACTGTAACCCTGCTCCTTCCTGAGACCCAGAGTCTCAATTCTGCTCCCAGATTCTAAAAGCTGCAGAGTTCAGGGACTTGCTCTCTCTCATCCAAAGTCTCAGTCAATCCTGAGCACGTTTGAGGAAGATTCCCTCATTTAATAAACATTCTCCAGCACTGTCCATGTGCCAGGCACTATTCTCAGCACTGGGACACAGCAATGAACAAAACATAGTTCCTGCCCTCTCACAGAGCTTACGGTCTGGCAGTCGAAACAGAAACACACTAGTAAACACCTGGAGAAAAATAAAGCAGGAAAGGGAGGGGATAAGCAGTGCCATGGAGTATGCAAATTCATCGTGGATAATGTGGGAAGGCTTCACAGAAGGGTGACGGAGAAAGGGAGGGGGCCGTAGAAGTCTCTGGAAAAAGGGCTCCAGGCAGCGAGCACAGCAAGTGCAAAGGCCCTGGGGCAGAAGCTTGTCTCACAAAGAGCAGAGATTGGCCAAAGCCCAGGGAGCAGGGGGAGAAAGAGAGGCAGAGGTCAGGAAAGAGCTGGAGCCAGCACATGCAGGCCCAGGACGGCTTCAGGGACACAGCATAGGAGTGGCAGGGTGTGTGGAATTTAACGGGACAACTGTTGTTGGTTTAAGAGTGGACCACAGTGGGGAAGGTGGGAGCAGGAGACTGCAGGACATTGTGGTTACCCAGGTATGAGCTACCAGTGGCTTGGCCCAGAGGTGGGGAAAAATGGACAGATTCTGGATACGGTTTCGGGGTCAAGCTGCCAGGATTTGCTAATGATGTGAGGCAGAGTGGCTTTGGGCTCAAGCATCTAGAAAAATGAAACTGCCTGTGCAGAATGTCCATCTTGCTGAACTGAATGCTCTCCTTAAACAGATGCCTTTCCCCACTGATATGGTTTGGATCTGTGTCCCTGCCCAAATCTCATGTCAAATTTTACTCCCCAGTGCTGCAGGTGGGGCCTGGTAGGGGCAGTGTCTTATGGTTTAACACCATCCCCTCTCTGTGCTGTCATTGCCACAGTGAGCTCTGAGATGTGGTTATTTAAAAATTGCGTGGCACCTCCCTCCCGCTCTTGCTCCTGCTCCAGCAACGTAAGACACACCTGCATCCCCTCCACCTCCTGCCGTGATTGTAAGTTTCCTGAGGCCTCCCTAGAAGCCGAGCAGGCGCCGGCATCATGCTTCCTGTACAGCCTGCAGAACCATGAGCCAATAAAACCTCTTTTCTTTATAAATTACCCAGTCTCCAGTATTCCTTTATGGCAATGCAAGAACTGACTAATACACTCATCTTTGACCACTTAGAAGACTTTCAAAGAGCTATGCAGCAAGTGTGGGTGATGGACACGGTTTGTCTGCCTATGTTATACATTTCCTAACCGCCATGTTACCAACCCTCCTGTGGTATGTGGTTTGTTCCTGTTTGGGTCCTTAGAGTGGTTTACTGACTTTATTTTTTACACCTATCCAAAAAGCTCCAACTTATTACCATTTATTTAATTCATAGTTTAATCAATTTGTTCCCCAGTAAATACACAGAGGTAACAAATATTCCCAAAGACATAATTCTAAATCTGGAGTTCATGGCAAAATGGGACTAGGCGGAGCAGACATTTAGGCTGAAAAATATGCTATACTTCTGGGTTTCAAAGTCCAAGAAGAAATGGATTTGTAAAAAATTATTAGAAAAGAAAATAATCTTTACATTTTTAAAAACTAACACTATTCTCTCCAAGCTACTATTTCATGAAACACACGGGCATGTGCACACATGCACAGGCACACACACACACACACACACTTCAAAAACACAAACATGATGTCAAAAAACAAGTGTTGTGTACACTGCATGAACTCTTAAGACCTGGATAAAAATTAATTTGGCTATTAGAAATAGATGAGATAGGAAAGTACGTTTGCTAACAATGTAACCCCTTCAAATGGAACAATACTGAATTAAATAAACTTTTAAAATACTTTCTTTAAGGAATGTCAAAGAGCCTGAGTCACAGTTCTTCTTTTTTTTAATCAAAGTCATGTTTAATTAAGTTGCTTCCATTTTACAATGCATAAAATAATCACATACTATTTAAACAGGCAGAAACGAGTTAATCTGCATTTATAGAACATAGTTTTTTGGGTGGGAAAAACCTTCTTTTATCATTTCATCCTTACTACTTAGAGGAAACAGACATATAACGGTTCTAACTCATTTTTCAACTTCAATTATTCATTCAGTAGAAGCTATACTTCAAGTACCCACACAACCATTCTGCTTTTCACTTTCAGTGTAATCTTCAAAAATTACATGAGATATTCAACACACTTTATTATAAAATAGGCTTTCTATTAGACAATTTTGCCCAACTGTAGGCTAATGTACTGTTCAGAGCACTTTTAGGGTAGGCTAAGCTATGATGTTCAACTTTTGATATTTTCAACACACAGTGGGCTTATCTGGACATAAATCCATCCTAAGTTGAGAAGCATCTGTATACCCAACATTGGTTATGTATACTTTCTTTAAATGTTCATTTTAAAAATAAAACTTTCTTCACATCAATCCTGTGATGTAGGTCTTTAATTTTTAAAACTGCAAAACAGGTTCCAAGATGTGCTCTTAGGGATTCATATAGTATAACACAGCCAAAACAACTGCTATGACCTCTCAAATATTCACAAATCAAGGCTGGGCACAGTGGCTCATGCCTGTAAATCCCAGCACTTTGGGAGGCTGAGGCAGGAAGATCCCTTAAGGTCAGGAGTTCAAGACCAGCCTGGCCAACATGTGAAACCCTATCACTACAAAAAATACAAAAAATTAGCCAGGTGTAGTGGTGCATGCCTGTAGTTCCACCTACTAGGGAGGCTAGGGAGGAGGATCACTTGAACCCAGGAGGTAGAGGCTGCTGTGAGCTGAGATTGCACCACTGCACTCCAACCTGGGTGACAAAGTGAGAACCTGTCCCCCCACAAAAACTATTCACACATCACCCAGTATTAAGGAGGGGTCATCATTCAGAGAGGGTTTTCTAAGATAATCTATTAAATTACAATTTATAAAGAAATGTTTATAAATTTTTATGAAGTTATGAATTTCTAAATATAAAAGTATAAATTCACATAGAGCTGTTTAAATAAGAAGTTTCCCTCTGAGAGGATTATAAACTATGCAATCTGCTACATGTGATTTCAAAGAAATGATAAATTATATCTAATGTGTAGGTATAATAATAGAATCAATTTTTGATATTTAAATTATCCTAAAACCTGCTGAGTGTGAATACTCTTAAACCTTTCTTTTCTGTTTGTGCTTCTGGCTGAGAACGGAAGAAGGGATGGAAGCTTCAAATGACTGCAATTCTTCAGATGATTTATTGTGACCGCTCGTAAAATATTTTTTTTCCAGAGTCCAAGGGCAAGATAAAAAGTCTCTGACTTGAAATCAGAGTTGATCTGCTGATCTGCTAGCCACAGCTCGAGTATTGCCATAAACCTTGGAAGGACGATTTCCCAAGATTAGGTTACAAATGGCAGTTCTTGCCATCTTGATGTTTTGGAAGGAGCCAAGGATGTGAACTCTCACATCAGCCAAAACTGTCCACGTCTGTGTCACATTTTCTTTTTTTTTTTTTTTTTTTTTTTTTTTCTGTGTCACATTTTCTATGGTGAATTTGGTTTTTCCTCCTTTGCCAGCGATTCTTCCTATTGCCTTGGAGAGATGGTCTCCCTTTAAGGGTTTAACATCTGTGATTTCAAAACACTCTAGGAAGAAGTCATCCAACCTGATGAGGGCAAGTGCACCCTCCACCTGAAAGCTGAAAATAAAGGCTTTCACAAAATCAGCTGCTTTTGCCAGAGCACTACCATCATTGGTTTCTTTACAAGTCCCGATTTCTACATTCCTTGATTTCGAGTTAAAGCTTATCTGAAGACCCAAATGTTCCACAATAGGAGTAAATATCTTCATCCAGTTTCTTTTGATGGTGTGCATCTGTTAGCCGGGACTGGAATCTTCCTTGTTTCTTCTTTCCCACTCAGGAGCATGTCACCACAGAGGGGTGGGAAGACGGGCATCTTCGTCGGCCTGGCCTCCTCTGTGTCCATAAGGCCCGCATCCCTGCCCTCTCCTGCTGCGGACAGCTGTTCAGCCTGTCGTTTCTTAGCCCGCCGGCCACCCTTGCGGGTGACCTGGGTAAAGCCCTCCTCTGCCCTGGCGCTCTGTGCTTCCATTTCGGAGTCCAACCCTGGGAATCTTCCAAGTCACAGCTCTTCAATAGGCACTGTGCGGTGCACAAAGCATGGGTTCACTGATGTGCAGGTGGACGGCCTCCCAGACACAGGGATGCATGACATGGAGCTCAGGGGAGAAGTCCATGGAGATAGGGGTCGGAGTATCATCGCCCTGCAGATGGTGTATAGATTGCCTTGGGGCTGAGTTTAGAGGAAGAGCACAAAGCCTGGGGCTGGGCCATGTGGGGCCCGAATGTTCAGAGATCAGGTGATGATGGGACTCACAGAGGATGGTGAAGAAGTGTAACCAGTCAAGGAAGAGGAGGATCAAGAAAGACAGTGATATGGTTTGGCCGTGTCCCCGTCCAAAATCTCACTTGAATTGTAACTCCCATAATCCCCATGTATCAAGGGAGAGACCAAGTGGAGGTAACTGAATGATGGGGGCAGTTTCCCCTACGCCATTCTGGTGATAGTGCCTGAGTTCTCATGAGACCTGATGGTTTTATGTGTCTGGTAGTTCCTCCTGCATTCAGTTTTCCTTCCTGCCACCATGACTGTAAGTTTCCTGAGGTCTCCCCAGCCATGTGAATGAGTCAATTAAACCCCTATTCTTTATAAATTGCCCAGTCTCAGGCAGTTCTTTGTGACAGTGTGAAAATGGACTGATACAGACAGCGTACAGGAATCCAAGAGGACAAAGTCCTGCATGGATGAGCCAGAGACTGACTGTGTCAAATGCTGCCGACGGGTCAGGAAAGAATAGAAGTGAGAACTGACCACTGACTTGTACAAGGTGAGGGTCACCATTGACCTTGATAAGAGCAGCTTCTGAGGTGTGAGGAGCCCAAAGGACCACCTTGAATAGGTCTGAGAGAGGCCGGGACGAAAGATACAGAGGTGAGCAACACAGCCAACTCCTTATGGTGTTTTCCTTCAAAGGAGACAGAGAAATCTGGCAATATGGCCCTTTGGTCAAAGTGTTTTTAAGGTGGAAACCTTAACGTCTGGGTTGCTAATTTGAATGGTCCAGAGGAGTGGCAATGGCTGGAGTGAGGTACTGGGTTAGGTGAGGTGAGATGGGAGCCAAGGATCTCCCACGGGAGATACAGCAGCTGAGTCCTGCAGCAGGCAGGGTCTGGTGTGGACTCCTGGGATCTTACCATCTGAACTTATCATTCCCCTAGGACCTAAGCCCCAACAACAAACCAGCCAACTGGGCTTGGTCAGCCAGGTGGTTCCTATCAATTCCAGTCTCTTCCTCTTCCATGTAAGCCCATTGGGCTGAATTCCCAGCTTTCCTTGCAACAAGTGAAATTGAGTTAGGACAATATAGTCATTACCCTCAAAGAACAATATAACGTTGTATGTGTGAAAACAACACTGCTAACAAAAACCCATTCTAAACAACCAAGGCAAATGCATGGGTGCTGGGTGAGAGAGCCAGCACATCCCTGATGGGCACTCCCAGAGGCTGCCCGGAAAATGCTGGCTTTGTTCAGGTGCGGAAGTGATGGGGAATGCAGAGGGGGCCATGTGCCAGGAAACTGGTGCAGTACATAGAGACTGATGCGTTGTGTGTGCAAAGCATGACCCAAGGACCCAAGTCAAGAAGGGACTTGGGAGGAGACAAAAATGGATCTTAGCGTCAGGGTTATGACAGAAGTAACACACAGAACTAGAGCGTGGAGGGATTTAGAAGGCTCGTTACAGGAGTGGGGCTGAGTACTGGCCTTTGAAGGCTGGGTAGGATTTGGCAATGGCAGGGCCCAGAAGGCAGCAAAAAGTGAAGGATGACAGGAGCAGGTCAGGAATTCTGAGGCCAGCACTCACAGGCTGAGTTTAAACAGGATCCTGAAGGCGAGGCAGCCACAGACAGCTCTCGAGAAAAGCATGACACACGCAGAATCATGTTTAATGATGCTCAATGGCGCCGACACTGGAGGTCTGGAGATAGGGTGGCCAGAGCAGTGGCAGAGGGAGTAGAGACCACACCCAGTCACTGACTACTTCATGCAGACGCCAGAACTGGGGGGCTAACTGGAAAGGAAAGAAGGTCCCCAAGACAATGTTAAGGTTCTGAGTGTGAAGGCCTGGGTGTGTCACCTGAGCTCTGGGTGTGGAAGGAGATGCTGTTTGTGGGAACTGAAAGGCTTGGTTTGCACATGCTAAGTTTGAGGTGTTGTGAGTTTCCCAGGCAAAAATGCCCAGGAGGCGTCAAAACCAGTGTCTGCAGTTCAGGAGTGAGGTCCTGGCTGGAGACCCAGATGTAGCAATGTCGGCACAAGGATGAGGCTCAAAGCTGAGGAGATGGATGATGACAGCGAGGGAGAACGCTCAAGGTAAGAAAAAGTGAGTCTCACTGATCAGGTACAGGAGCTGCCATCACACCTGTGGCAGGTAGACTGCTGGGCAGTGTACCTTCCTCCCCATCTGCCTGGGTCTCACCTGCCCTTCCGGGCCTGGCCCCACCCCCTCTGGGAAGCCCTCTCTGGCTACTCCATCCCCCAGGCATCCTTCCCCTGCTGTGAGCTTCTCAGCCCTGGCCAGCCCCACCTTAGCACTGGGTCTTGCGTTGCCACCTTGGTGTAGTCCCCAAGCACCTTGAGGGCAGGATGACAGTTAATCCCCATGGGCCATTGCATTTTCTGGCACAGAGCACCCAAAAGGCACTGATTAAATAGGTCCTCCTCCTTGATGAATTAATACATTGATCAGTTGCTAAAATGGAGATCAAGAAAGAAAGGTGAGTTTAATTAGAGATAAAAAGACTCAGAGATGTTAGACTCATTCAGCATCTACTCTTCTGCGTCTGGCTTACTGACTCATCATGATGAACCAGGTCTACATGTATCAGCATGGACACATGTCAAAATCACTGTTGCGTAAACATAACAAGTCGCAGATGTATGTTAAACCAACGGGAGTAGTCACAAGCACTATAAATACCAAATATTCCAGGTTCTCTCAAGCACAAGGTAGGAATGCCCTTCCCTACTCCCATGGAGGTAAGCTGAGTGTGGCCATGTGACTTGCTCTGGCCATTTAAATGTGAGCAGAAGCTTCCAGGTGGAACCATTTTTTCCTTCTTCCTATCACAGACCTTTCTCAAATGTGTATAGGAGTGAAATACATATGTTCATTGTAGTAAAAAAGAAATAAATAAAGGAAGAACTGAATCTAAGGCAAAACTGTGGGACTGCAGAGGGGTGTGTCCAGTGATTCTGGGTAGGGGCACCCTTGGCAATTTGGGGAAACAAGAGGTTGTAAGGTTGGTGGAATGGAAGGTCAGCATCCCTGGCCCTATCCCTGAAATGCCGGAAGTGTCCTAAGTTATGTGACAATCGAAATGCCCTCTCCCTTCTTCACCATTTCCAAACACTCTGAGGGGTGGTGCCAGCCCCAAGGGAACCATGAATGTAGAAGAATCACCAGACGCAAGGGTGGGAGGCACGGTCGCAGCTTGAGACAGCCAGGCTGGGGGAGGAAAGGTTGTGACACTGTAATCAGTTCCGTACGTGCCCAAATTGCATGTGACAAGTTGAAAGAGAGAGGATGCCTTCCATAGCCGACAGAACAGAGGGGACTGTCCTGGAAGGAGACTGATGAAATGGATATACTAGTGGTAAAAGGCACCGATGTCAATTTTTTTTTTTTTTTGAGACGGAGTTTTGCTCTTGTTACCCAGGCTGGAGTGTAATGGCGCCATCTCGGATCACCGCAACCTCCGCCTCCTGGGTTCAAGCAATTCTCCTGCCTCAGCCTCCCGAGTAGCTGGGACTACAGGTGCACCCCACCATGCTCAGCTAATTTTTTGTATGTTTAGTAGAGACGGGGTTTCACCATGTTGACCAGGATGGTCTCGATCTCTTGACCTCGTGATCCACCTGCCTTGGCCTCCCAAAGTGCTGGTATTATAGGCATGAGCCACCACGCCCCGCCCACCAATGTCAATTTTTTGAGCAGTTATGAAGTGTAGTCTTTACATGGAATCTCACAGGGTCCTCTGAAAATCCCACGTCATTCTCCCCCTTTTACAAATAGGGAAACTGAGGGCTGAAGAGCTGGGGGCTAGGTAATGGGGCAGAGATGACAGAACTCAACTGAGAGGAGGATTCTGAAGCAGAGCAGATGGGACTAAGGGAAGACCTGGAAGGTGGGTGGGAAGGGAGCAGGACCCATGCTAGCTGGAGGAAGAAGAGAAGAGGACTCAGGGTGATCTTCCCCCCTAACCCCGCCACCTTCAGCCAATCCAGATTGTGTAGGTAGAGACATCTGGCAGAGAACTGGTTGGGGTGTGACTCCTGCAAGCTGCCCTTCTGGGGGCTCAGAGGACCTGCCTTTCAGGGAAGATGGGAACCTCCCCGGCTGCACACGGAATGCTGCTGGGGAAAGCTCCTGGGACACCACGAAACACTCAGCAGCCCTCAGAGCCCACAGACAGCCTCTGAAGCAAGAAGGAAGAGAGCCAGTCGCGTGAGCAGGCACTTCATCGATCCTGCAATCCAGCCTCTGTGTGGCCTCTAAGGGACCCAGTGGCATGAGAACACAGAGACACACGAGGGCGCTCTAACCAAATAGCAGGAAAGGAACAGCATCCAGCCCCACATGGAAAGAGGGTTGGCATTTTCAAAGACCTTTGGTCCAGGGTTTCTGAGCGCAGCCGCTATGGTATTTCAGGCAGTAGATTTCAGGGGCATTTGCCACCCCTGGCCCCCTTCCCATCACTGACCATCCCATTCCACACATTTCCAAGCACCCCCTCTCCTGAGAGCCGCTGCTGGTCAGTGCCACCAGAAGGTGCCAACTGGTGGCCCTGGGGAAGGCGGTGGTCTCTGCTGTCCCCCAGCCTTACAGAGGACTCCCGTGCCTCCCACGCTGACTCTGTGAGTTAGGAGCTTGCAGGTGCTGGAGGATCAGAGGTTCCCAGTGACAGTCTGTTTTGGCGCCGGCCCATGGGGACTGTCCTCCTTGGGAAACACATTTTCCTCCACATTGGTTGTCCTTCAGGGTTGTGCAGGACCGGGCCACCCTGATCACACCAGGGACACAGACACAGGACCCTGAGACAGACGCCACGGGACCTGCTCACAGACACCCAAATCCCAGGAAGCAAACACGTGGCCACACAAAACACAGCTGGCACAAAACTTCCACAAAGCACATCTGAAACAAGGCACCCTCCAGAACCCAGACAGTCTCCAAAGCTGTGAGCTCTGAAACGTTTAGACCATCGGGTTCCCAAAGTCAAGCATCAAAGGTGAATAACTAGGAATGAGATTCAATGTTAACCAACCAATGAGCCCTGGGCCCCAGCCAGTCAGGATGGGGACCAGTGTAAACACCTGGTGCATACAGTGTGCAATCAGCCCTGCAGTCTATTCGGCTGAGCCCAAGTGCCCCGTGGGAAGCCAGACATGCCAAGATGGCCATTGGGCAATACAGAGGTGACTTTTTGGGAATACATGTCAAGAGAGACAGGAGTCTGGACATTTGCTGGGATACTGGGATGGCAACTCCAATGCGAGGACTAGAAACCTGGCAGGGATCCGAGAAAAGGAAGGG